AGACCCCGAGACACGCCCACCATACTAGGAGCCCCGTCAGTTGTGATGCTGGCCAGCTTTGACCAGTCGAGGTCCAACTCTTCTATGGTTTGGTACACTTTGCCGAAAATATCCTCCCCCGTCGTAGTCCCTTTGAGACTTTGGAGGGCTGCCAGCTCCTCGCACATCTCAAAGTTTGCACTAATTCCACGAATAAAAATGAGCAGCTGCGCGGTGTCCTGCACGTCCGTGCTCTCATCCAGTGCTAATGAAAAAAATTCAAATTCTTTCGTCTTATGCTGCAGCTGGGCATATACATTATCACCGATTTGTTCAATGCGTCTGGTGATTGTACTCGCTGATAGACTCACGGCATTAAAAACATCTTTCTTCTCGGGACACACCTCCTCCGCGACAGCGATCATGCATTTCTTGACAAACTCTCCATCAGTGAAAGGTTTACCGCTGCTTGCTATCAGTTGAGCAACCCGAAAGCTGGCCCAAACAGATGACTGGTTCAGCTGAGCTTGGCGTACAAATGTATTCTGCTGAGCTAACAGCCCACTTTAGCTTCGAGGGTTTGTCTGCTCGCAATTGGCCTTGCAAGCTATCATACTTGTCTTTGTGACGGGATTCATAGTGTCGCCGCAGATTGTATTCTTTGAATACCGCCACCGCCTCTTGACAGATGAGACAGACAGCCTTTTCTTTGCATTGAACAAAAAAATAATCGTTTGTCCACTGCAGGTTAAATGCCCTGCATTCTGAATCAATCAGATAGGGGCACAGACCGCAGAAGGGTGGAACAGAATGTCACGCTATATGCGTGTAGTTACCAACCAATAGTTAATAATGAAAATAGTCTATAACTAAGGGACATTTTATTGCAAAAGTCCAACTTTATTATCAAATACAAATACAGTGAACCCTCGTTTATCGCGAAAAAAAATCAAAATGCTCTCTGGTATTGTTCAGGGGGCCCGCGGGCTGTAGTTTGGGGACCACTGCTTTACTACAATTCCCAACGCGGCATGCCCCACCGGATCACGTGCACGCTGTAATTGATACCGGTACATCTGAACGATCGAAAAAAAGACCGGTCTACATTTCGCTCCGCGCCTCCCCGCCCCGGACTTTCTCGGACATGTAAGTTACCGGCTTTTACCATATTTGGGGTACCGAACACATGATTTGTGTCACATGATCATCAGCAAATTATGTGCCAATTTTACGTGCACAAACTGGTGCA